AGAAAACTCAGATTTCATTCAAATGAGAAAAAGTTGACTAACAACTGAATTTTAAAAAGAAATCAATGAAATTGGAAGATTATCATGAAATCAATGGCTTCCTGAAATCATTATTAATGTAGCAAAACATTCTCAGAATTCTAGGTAATTTTCAGACCAATCTAGGAAAATTTTGCCATCAGACACAAAGTTAAATATATCTTTAAAAAGTAACAAAATCAGTAAATGTAAACAATGCAATGATGATAAAATAGCTAAATATAAACACATGCAAACTACAATTAATATTTACTCAAGAATGAGAAGGTGTGCTCTTTGAAATAAGACCCAAATAAGATAACATAGTGAAATGAATTTCTGCCAGGAAAAGAGTGATTCTCCAATGATCCATTCATGGAATGAATGCCAATATAAAAATTAATCTTCCTTAAGATGAGAAGATGCTGTAATCTGATTTAACAAATCTATGAATTGCATTTAGAATTATTTCTCAACCATAGAAATCAGTACAAATATTTTATGATATTAATAATTATAATATTCATCAAAATTATTTTTCTTTGATTCATCGTAAATAACTAAACATAAGCATGGGGACACAAAATTAATTAAAACATAGTTTGAAGTGCAGGCTGCCAATGTCCTCACCGATTTCAGGCTGAGGCTGTATATATGTATTTCTTTACTTTAAAGGTTGGGGGGTTTATTGGTGCTGTTACTTTTGTAATTTTAGTCATTAAATGAACACTGTAGGGGAAGCTGTAGCCATGCCTGCTTAGGAGCTGGCTACAGATATGCCTGACCATGTTTGCGAGGGCCTGGTCAGGGTGACATAGAAGGAAACTTGAAGGAGACTGGGTCTCTCGTTTCGGTTTCCCTTTTGGACTTGCATACAGACAGCTGCCATGCCAGCTGGCTAGGTCGCTCTGTAAGTAAGGCTTTTCCCTATTAAATATCCCTATATTTGTATCTGACTCCATATTGGTAATTTCCCACTATAGAGTCTTGTTCAGAGGGCAGGGCTGATTTACAAAGGTGGTCAAGTATGTCTTGTAAAACAAGAAATAGCCACTTGCCCTCTCCCCTACCTGGGGACTGTCCTCTGGGTAATGACTGTGCTTTGCTCCCTGTTTCTTTGAGGCAATATAGGCTTTTCCATCGTGTGTGCCTTTCTGTCCCAGGGAGAGTATTCCTAGTCAGCTTGTCCCATCTGCCACAAGATGGGTGTGATCCCAGGAGGACAATGTCCCCTGCAGGCATCCCTGCACAGTGCTCTAGAAGGCAGCCTCCTCCCAACCACTTGCAAAACC